CACTACCTCCGTCGTGTCGTCGTAGAGAGACGACGTACTATATATATATATATATATATATATATATATATATATATATAATCACGTTGGTGTTCGCCCCTAATTTTAGCTTGCATGATTTATCTGACAATGGATTTAAATGTTTCATATGATATAGCTGGTACGCTTGTCTATGCTTTGTCTGACTTCGAGAGAATGTTAGATAGATTCAATTTTATTTATTTTTGATGTTCTAATCATATTGAAAATCATTTCTTGCTGTTTCTAGCCAAAAATAACCTAGTGGCACTTATTTACGTTAGTGTTGGAAAACTCAGGAAGTCTGACTGGGATGCCCTGAGTGATTCCGGCTCGGCAGCCTGCTAAATCCTGAATCAAACACATGAACTTGCTGAGTCTAGACAACTCATAATATTTTGTTAGAATTTTTGTTTTGGTCTGAGTCTCTGACAGACTCGGTAGAGTCCGTCAGACCTGACTTGGGTTCTGGACCCTAATGATTCCTGACCTGATTTTCCCCCTTTTTTTTTTTTTGGACACTGGTTTGGTTGTGCCTTATACTGCTGCCACATGAACTTTGGAACTTTATATTTTTGCTTTTATACCCACTGTAAACTTTATATTTTTGCTTTTATACTTGCACTGTTCATATTTTTCGACACAATTTCAATGAGTCTAACAAAGTGTTATCATTGCTGCTCTAATCATGTTGAAAATCATTTATTGCTGCTCCTAGACGAAAATAACCTAGTGGCACTTGTTTGAGTCAGTGTTGGAAAACTCAGTCTTGACTAGGATTGCCTGAGTTATTCCAGCTCAGCAGGCTGCTGAATCCTGAATCAAACACATGAACCAGCCGAGTCTGGACAATTCCTAATATTTTGTTTTTTTGGTTTGAGACCTAGCTTGGGCTCGGAACTCTATCGATTCCTGACCCTATTCCTTGTTTTTTGACACTGGCTTGCGTTATGCCTCATTCTGCTGCCACATAAACTTTATAACTTCACAATTTTTTGCTTTTATCCCCCCTGTAAAGTTTACATTTTTGCTTTTATATCGACTCTTTTTATATTTTTCTGATTTTGGACCACAATTTCAGTGAGCCTAACAAAATGTTATCATTGCACTGTGTGAACAGGCTGAAGGTCCTGATTACACTAGTAGTCCGTCCAAAAGCAGGTATTTCGTCCCCAGAAAGAATTTTTAATTCGTTCATTTTGTATGAATTGAACTTTTGTGTTCTCAAAATGGATCTGATTGTTGCTACTTATCATTTTTCTTCTTCAATCAGAATATAAGGTTACATTTTTTTTTTATGTTCTTTACCATAATCCAATCAGATGCGCATGAATTAGTGGCCACTTTTTGTTGCTCACTGTGTTTTTCGCTCACTATTCACAAAACAACTGAATATTTAGCATGAGATTCAGGAATAAAGAATTGCCTCCCCTCCGGTATTATGTGAGAAACTCATGCTTGGGAAGAATCAAGGTTTAAAGAGTCAAATATGGCTCATGAATTGGTCCTAAGGAAAACTGGGTTGAAGAGTTTCTCTTTCATTTCTCATGCTGAAAGAGAAATAGGAAACTATCTCCATAGACCCCATTTTCAACTTTCATTTCTCCATTGACCTAAGGTTGCAAAACCTATCTTACTATATAGAAATTCACTCTATTATATCTCTTAATCCCCTAAACATATTTTATTCATTTTTTACTAATTTTTTTAACCCAAACAAATTTTAAAAAGACATTTTTTCTAAACCCCTCTCTCTTGACATGATTTCCGTTCTCTCTCCCCCAATCAACCTCCCAAACTCTCTTCCTCTCTCTATCTCCTCCAACTCTTTAGAGTCAGGGAGGCCATGGGAAAGCTTGAACTTTGAGGTTTTGAAGGTAGCCGGAGCTCGATGGACACAGTGGCTGGAACCGTGTTTCTCTGGCGAAATGATGGGGGATCCATTTTCACGGCCACCATTTTGGTCGGAATCTTGACCGGAATGTTTAGGGAATTGGAGTAGCAAAGGAATTAGGGTTTGATGACGGTAACTTTGGCACAAATTTAAAGATAGATTGGATAGAACTACGAGTTGGTGCTTGATGGCAGGAAAATCGGGCAGAGATTGCAAGAAGAAAGAGAAAACGCAGATAACACCGATTGTGATTTTGTTGCCTGAACTTTAGCTGAAAATTACAGGGAGAACCCACAAATTTCCTGTTTAGGGTTTCACAGAGTGAATTCAGCCCCAATTTACAGGAATAACGGAGAAGAATAACGGAGAAAAATGAGTGTAATGGCCGAAAATTTGACCGGGATTTGCAAAGAGTAAGGGGAAATCTAAGGGTTAGGGGTTTTTAGCCTACTTGGAGAGAGGTTTTTGATGAAGATTGCGGCCAAAACGCAAGGTTTTCGGTGAAGGTTCCAGCCCAATAGTAGATTTATGGTGAAGACCCGGCCAATATTTTGGAAATGATTGCCGTGAAATTGGAGTCTTTCGTGGGAATTTGGTTGTCTTTTCGGCCTTAAAGTTTGTTTGCTCTGCTTGTTTTGCCGTGAAAACGCCACTGACACCGGAAAAGAAACCCATATCTTTTCCCAAACACTTTTCCGGCGATCTCGATGCATTCATCTCTGGGAAAGGAGATTGCCGGGAAAGGAGATTGCAGGACCTTGCTGGAAAAGGTGGCCTATTTTCTCTACAATCTCCTGGCTTCCACCATTGTTGAGCTGGAAAGAAATGGGTCAGAGAGGAAGAACTCTAGAGTGAGAAACACTTTAGGAGAGATTGAAACTCGTGAGAAGAGTTAAAAAAAATATGTCTTTTTTAATTTGTTTGGATTAAAAGTTGGAATAAAATTAGATAAAGGTATTTGGGGGGTTAGAAGATAGGTTTTGAAATTTTGGGTTTAGGAAGATATGAAAGTTGAAAATGAAGTCTATATAGATATTTTCCCAAAAAAAATTGGTCAGAAGTTATATGTGGTAAAAAAGGGATACAATTCTATTGAGGGAACCTTTATACATGCCCTTTAAAGTTATACTTCACGTGAAACAGTAATTGCTCTATTCATGATGGAAAACGTTTAGATACGGTTGCTACCTTGTACTGTGGAAAAAAAAAGCATGCTAAATCTATTGAAAAAGGTTGTTTTCGATGCTGAAAAACCCTCTAATTAATCATTTCGACTTTGACATGTATGGATGTGGAAAAAAATAAATAAAGTCCCAAAAATAACCGTCTATTATCAAGATTTTCATATGTTTGTAGAACTGCTCGATCTGTACTATTTTTTGAGTTTTAAATCTCATAATTAGATCTAAAGTAGATTTTCAGGTCATCATTGAAATTTCCTACACCAAAATTACATTTTTTGATGAACTTTAGAGGTGCATGTTAGATTGTTTAAGGTTGACACCTTATACAAACCACACCCAATCATGATAGACTAGTATATGGTACTAATCCTTGGTAGTTTGTGTCCAACTGATTTGCAATTTGATGCTTGGTGGCTTCTATTGTTTGTTACTGGATGATGGCTTTTGTAAGTAGGGGAAACGTTGCAACATGTGCTCTCTTGATTATGTGTTTTTTTATTATGTACGAACTGATGGTCTGTATAGTCCTTTTGTAAAACATTGGAGAAGACCAATCTTCTATCATTTAAAATCAAATGATTATATGACTGGAAAACCAAGGTCTTGAAGAAAATGCTTTAACCATGTAAGCTGGAGCTGGACTGTGGCACATGGTCGACAATGTTTTTCTTTCTCACTGCTAGACCAAACTCTGCTTATTGCTCCAAATACTTAGAATATGCATGATTTTTCTTAGTATGCTTACAGTGACCTTGTCATCCATCCACGGAATTAAGAAGCTCGTAACTTGTTTTTAAATTGTCTACTCATATTACCCTAAAAGTGTCTTTATGTGGCTGATCTCTGTTTCTTTCTCTGTCCACAGATCGCAAGGACCGCTTCCAGTAAGTTTTCACTTTTTTTTGCCTTTCAATGATAGCATTTTCTGCTACTAAGTTGGTTTATTATGCTCTCTCTGTGATAACTAAAATTTCCCCTGCTATTGCAGGATGCAGAATCAAATGTGTCCAGTGATCGTAGTGAAGAGGATGATTGGGATGACTAGATTGTCCCGATTGATTTCAACTAACAGGCTACTGCTGTGTACATCCCTGTCAAATCCACTATTTGGATAAAGAAAAAAAAGAAGATCCAACTACATTTGGGACGCATTCTGCCGAGAGGGGGGGAGTGGCATCTATTCCTGTCAATCTGCAATCTGCAATCTGCAGAAGCAGATGCATGCGGCCTGAAATTAGGTCCGACCTACTTCCATGTCAATGGATCTACAGAAGCAGATGCATGCGGCCTGAAATTAGGTCCGACCTACTTCCAAGTCAACGGTAAAAACTTGTAGTTTAGCACATGGGCTATCCAAACACACCTGAAGGTATTCCTCTATTTATGGTCAGGTTCAACTGCTAATTTTTGTGTAAGCCTCACCATGGTGGTCCATCGAAACAGGCCCTTAGTGGTTATTGAATCTTAGAATTTGCTCCAGATAAAACTAAATTTCTTCTTTTTCTAAAAAATCTTTCTAAAATTCGTTGCTAAACCATTTTTCGGGTTCTATTTCAGTTTTATATCTAGTGCCATTGCACTTTCTTCTTTGAAATTGTCATTTTCTTTCTCTAAAACTTAGAATTTGAGATACTTTATCTCCCTAAAATTTTGAGATAGCTTTTTTTTCCAAAATTTTTGAGGTGATTTCTATCTTAAGATATAAAATTTGAGATAGTTTCTCTCTCTAAATATTTTCAGGTGTTTTTTTTCTCTAAATTTAAAATTTGAGATAGATTTTCTTTAAAATTTTTGAGATAGTTTCTCTCTCTACAAATTTTCAGGTAGTGACTCTCCCTAAAATTTAAAATTTGGCATAGTTTCTCTATCTAAAACTTAAAATTTGAGATAAATGTCTCTCTAAAAAATTTGAGATAGTTCTCTTAAATTTTTTTAAGTACTTTCTCTCTATAAAACTTAAAATTGAGATAGTTTCTCTCTATAAAAACTTTCAGGTATTTTCTCTTTATAAAAATTAAAATTTGAAATTATTTCCCTCTATAAATTTTGAAATAGTTTCTCTAATTAAAACATAAAATTTGAGTAGTTTCTCCCTAAAAGTTTTGAGATAGTTCTTTCTAAAGTTTTTAAGTTCTAAATCTCTGTAACTCCTAAAATTTGATATAGTTTATCTTTTTAAAAATTTTGAGATAGTTTCTCTTTTAAAAAAAATTAGATACTTCTCTATTTAAATTTGGATATAATTTATCTCTTTAAAATTTTAAGATATTTTGTCTTTCTAAACTTGATTTGAAATAATTTCTTTGTAAAAGCTTTGAGAAAGTTTTCCTTGCTAAAAACGTTTAGATTGTTTTTCTCTAAAATTAAATATATTGTTTCTCTCTAAAATTAAATATAGTTCTTTCTAAAATCTCAAGTTACATTCTCTCTCTCTAGATAGTTTCTCTCTAATTTATAGGGGTGTGGGGGTTCTAATTTAGTAAAAGGGGGGGGGGGGAGGTGTTGGTGGGCGTGGGGGTGGTTTAATGGAATTAATTGTATTTTATAAAGTGGGTGTGTCCGTAATAGGGAAATCTAGCTGGAAATCAATTTTGGAGGGTACAAGCATTGATAAAGATTTCTTTATTTTAGCTGAAAGAGTTTTCGGCCCAAAAAATATCGTTCCAAACGTCAATAATGCGTCATCTCCATCCACATCGATAACAGTTTTGGAAATAAATTTCCAACGTATTCAAACGGCCTCCAAATTTATTAATGAATCAATTTCACATGCATGCTATTTGCGTTTTGGGAGTGATTCTACTTGTATAGTGAATGGCTTTGAAGAGGCCCTAAGTACATTTACGAGTATTCACGAGTATACGCTCTAAATGAAGGAAATAGTTTATATAAGGTGTTGCAGAATTGCACCAATCGATTCGGAACGGTTAACTGGATATGGGTCTGGAAACAGTTTAACTAGTCTAATCAGTAAAGCGGTCGATTCAACCACTCTAATCGAGCAAAGTATCTGACGGTCAAAAAAGTGTTAAAAAAAATAAAAAAAAAAGTATATTAAAATATGAAAACCATATAAAGTATGATTAAAACAAACAAAGTTGAAAATTAATGAAAAAAAATAGATTTTAACAAATCAATTTATTCTTAGGGATATTTTTAAATTTTTGTGAAAGATGGGAAAGTATAAAAGTGAGTATTAATGACCAAAATAATTTTTAATCTTTACCATAATGTTAAGCATATTAAAATTGTGTTAAAAAAATCGACTTGACTAACTCTTTTATTTTTCAAAGAAAATGAAGAAAAAAATTAAGTTATATATAATATAGGTCATTCTTTTGTCAACCAAGTAGTAAATGGCGTAGTGGTTAGTGTTTGAACTCTTTTGAAGTTGGTGGTGGGATTCGAACTATGATTGAGGTAAAACTTAATCGTCAAAGCTATCCAATAAATCATTCTAATATATCTACTTTGAATTTACAGTAGTATTCTATTTGAATTTTCAAATACATGTTAATCACCAAAACCATGCGAAACTGTTCCGATGTAATTGAGCGGTTAGATCGGTCGGTTTTATGAACACTAATTATGTGTCAATCTTATAGTGTACAAGTACGGTACACTTAAAAAACCCACTAAAGAAGGTTGTTCTTATGCTAAAAAATCGTCAAATCAATCATCTCAACCTCAAGATTCATAGAAAATAAAATAATTGTATTTCTAGTTCTAAAAATAGTTAATCTTTGAACACATTATTTGGTCCATTTTCAAGATTTTCAAGTGTTTATAAACCTGCTTGATCGTAACTATTTATGGAATTTTAAATTTCATAACTGAAGATAAATAAGGTTGACACCTTATACAAACCTCACCCAAATTGAAATATAGGGAGAAGTTTATGGAGGCCCGATCATAGAAATTTGGGGAGAAGCTGTTCCATCACCCAAAAAATCTTGAAATTAACGAACAGGTTTGTTGTGCTCTCGCGTACAAGACTAACTTGGAAAGATGTTTCTGATCCAAAAATTTGGGAAGCGCCTAAAGATCACCAGATAATTATATTCAAAAGAAAAAATTTGAATTTTTGAGTTTTTTAAATCCTAGATCTTTCCCTTCAAAATATGGATAGCTTCTATTCAATCTTGAGGTATTATTTTGCCAGCCCATAAAGTGCAATTTGGATAAAAAATTTGCAGCATAGAGGTTATATCCCCAAAAATTTGGGGTCCTAAAAATACTACCGAGGTTTTGTTTTACCTCGTGAGCATGAAATCTTTTGGTGAAATTGATTTTGTACCCCTTCTATTATAAAAAAAGATTTTAACCTTTAAAAAAGTGGATATAGTGATATATTATCATTTCTAAGCTTTCATAATTCTTTGCATTTCTTGAGATTTTAGTTTTATAAGTAGGGGCAGCAATTGTTTTTTAGGCTATCTTAATGGTTTCTACAATTGAAACTCAACTGTGGCTCTACTTTTGTAATAGGGAGTGAATATATGGAAACGTTTATCTAAGTGCGAGGCCCTAAACCGTCAAATTAAGGTGCATATCAAAAATTTCATTAGAAGATGTTTTGATGCAAAATTTTTTTTCAAATTGATTATTTGGACCTCAAGATGCATGGACATGAGAAAAAAATAGATTTCAAGTTTTTGTCATAGTGTATCTTGTTATGCATTTTTGGACGGTCAATTTTCAATATTTTCAAGTTTTCATAGATCTACTCGATCATACTATTTTTTAAGCTTTAAATTGTATAATTAGATATGAAATTAAATTTCAAGGCTATCACACAGATTTCCAGTATCGAAACCACATTTCCATACACTGTGGTGTGCTTCAACTTTAATTGTGCTTCGACTTTGATTGGTTAGAACCTATGCCTTAGGCAAACCGCACTCTTAAAATGTATATACCAAACGTAAACTTAAAAGGATTTTCATCTTTGTTAGATGCCCTCCGTACCCTTGGGAGGAGTTGAGTTTATGACGTAGTGCTGAAAATTGTCAGACCCTAACCAATTAAGCCAAGGTTATTTTCTTGGTTTTTATCTCTTGTTTTTTTTTTTGTGAAAAAAGTTTACCTAAGGTGCAAACTTTATACCATTGAAGTCAGATGTACCTCAAAATTCCTTTAGAAGATAGTATTATGACGTACGAAAACTTTTTAATTCAATCATCATAACCTCAAGATGTATAGATATGAAAAGAAAAACAAATTTCAAAGAATAAAAATATACATATTGTAACAAATTATTTAGATTGTCTACTTTCAAAAAAATTTAATGTTCATAGATTTATTCAATTTGTAATATTTTTGGAATTTTCAATTTCAGAACTAGAGATAACATTGATTTTCAAATTGTCATAAAATTTTCAACACTCCCGACTGGATGCGCATTACTTCTACATTATAGGGGGGCATGTAAGGGTTGCAATGGGCCGGGGAAAACATGGCCTGGCCTGGCCCGATCGAAAATAAAAAAAAAGAACCAAGAACTAAAAAGAAAAGGGGGCCAGGCCAGGCCAAGAACCGGAACCGGCCCTCAAGGGCGAGTACGAAAGTTGAGGAACACATTTGATATAATAAGTCTGAGTGTTCATACGACCATTTTTCGTCGCTTTCGTATGTTGCAGGTTGCGAGCGTTATCTCAACTTTCAACGTCTGAACATGCGATTTGTAATTTCAGGAGTCCTCAAAACGCGACACGTTTCTCGCCGCGGCGAGGCGACATGGAGTCGGGACCCACTGGAAATCTATCTGGTTATGCGTACGGAAGCGTGTACGTCGTTGGAATATTCCAACCACCGAAGGCGATGCAACCCTATGACGTCATGTAAGACCCCCCTCTCTCTCTTCATTTGTCCAAACCTCCCTCTCTCTCTCTCTCTCTCTCTCTATCAATCTTCTTCATCTTTTCTCTCTTTTCATCTTCTCCTTTCTCTCTCCTACCTGCATCATCATCTCTCTCTATCTTTCTTCTCTCTCGTCTGCATCGTCTCTCTCTTCTTCTTCTTTCTTCTCTCTCCAACTTACCCAAAAAAACCTGCATCACCTCCCTCTCTCACTTCATCTTCTTTCTTCTCTCCTACCTGCATCGTCTCTCTCTTCTTCTTTCTCTCCCCTACCTGCATCACCTCCCTCTCTCTCTTCATCTTCTTTCTCTCTCGTATCTGCATCACCTCTCTCTCTCTCTCTCCTGAATTCTTTCCCCCAAGAAACACTGAGGAGGCAAGATTGGGGTCGTCCAGCGTCATGGCCTGCTCAGTGCACAAGCGCTCAGCCTCTGATACCACCTTCACCCTCTCCCCTCTTCCTCTCACCTATGACGACTACAACTGCAACAAGATCCCCAAGACCATGCCAAGGCCCACGCCCACCAAGCCAAAGCCCACTCCCAAGCCCGACAACATCTTCGCCTTCCACTCCTTCGGAGAGCCAGGGCGCCCCGCCTCCTTCTCAGGAGCTTTCCGGGACAACGTGCGTGACTTCTTGGCCCATTGGGCCCAAACCTTGGCCCACGAAGTCGAGGGTAACCCCGCTTGGCTTGTATACTTGGCCCTGTCTCAAGAAACCCTAATCCCTCTCTATGTGGTTGAGGAGCACGTGCGCAATTCCCCCTGGCCCTACTGTGACCATTGTCGTTGTGTAGGTACGTGAAAATTACTCAGAATTATTCTTGTTATTTTCTTTTTGTGTTTAGATCACTGAAAATTAGTCATAATGATTGAATCTGGATTGCATCATAGTTTCAGTACATGGGTCGTAGTTTGCTTTTCCCAGTATCAGTAGGGTTTCATTTTGAATGGCTTTTCTCCCATGAACACCAATGGGCTTCTGTTTCGAATATCATTGAAGTGTATTAGGATTTGATCGTGTATCGGGGTTTTAATAAATTTTGGGGAAATTTATGAAAATACCTATGAAGAATTTACAATTTAATCATATATTTTGATTTAATATATACATGGTCTTAGTGCAAATGGCTAAACTGATGAATAATTCATCTCTCTCTTTCACTAGGTTGGAGCCACCACCTGGTCTCGTGGCGTCGCTACCACTTCATAATCCCTGCCTCCGACCAATCCCACCACCTGCTCCCATCTCGCTTAGTCCTTGGCCGCAGAACCCACCTCCTCCACGGCCTCATCCACTGCAGCGGCTTCGGCCACCTCCTCTCCCTCAATGGCCATGAAAACGGCTCCAAACACCTCTCTGGCCACCACACTATGGGCCTTTGGGATCGCATTTGCTCCATGCTTTGCACCAGGTCTACAACCACACCACTTTTCGAGCAAAGTTTGCCTGAATCTCATCCTTTTCAGGCCAAAATCCCCAGAATCCACTATCTCGGTCTCCTAATCCATGCCTGCTCTTTCTTTTTTACAGGAAGGTGACAGTTGAAGACACAGCGCGCAAGCACTCTATGGAGCTCCGTCTCTTATACAGTGCGGCCTATGGCCACCCATGGTTTTGGAGGTGGGGCTACAGTTTTTTCCATGGAAGCTTTGGCATAACAGAGAACCTCTACTTGATGGCCGTCAAGATCCTGAACCAGCTTCCCCTCCACATGCTTGACCCCGAACACCAAGACCCCCACCTGCATCGAATCTTCGAAGCCTACAATACCACCTGCAACTCAGAGATATCCACTCTGGGCAAGCTCTTGCACACCATGCTCCAGCTTAAGGCCCGCCTCCCTTGGCAAAAGGCAGATGCGGCACCACCCATCACTGGGTCACGACTGGTGACCCCCACAAAGTGCTTGCTAAAGAAGCACCACGATCATAAAGCGGTAGTGGGGGTTGAGGAGTTAGCCGCATCATCGCGGTGCCGGTGGTCACCCAAGCGGTTTGAGGCGGCTGCACACGTTGTGGCCGAGATCTTGGATGCGAGCGGCAGCAGGCGAATGTTGCGCAAGGAGGTACGTGATGCCGCTCGTGGGCGCATCGGGGACACAGGCCTCCTCGACTTCGTGCTCAAGTCTCTCAACAATTGCGCAGTCGGCCCTCACCTCATCCGTCGCACCGTCAACCCCAAAACGAAGGTCTTAGAGTACTCGTTGTTATCCACCACCGAGCGGGACTACTGGGATGGTGAGGCGGCCACAAAAACCGGGAAATATGGGTCAGGAGACCACCCTCAAAACCAGATTCAGGTGGGGAGAAGAAGTGAGATCGAGAGAGATCTGGAATACGTGTACAGGACGGTTTTGGAAGGGGGTTTGGGTGGCAAGGTTGTGGAGGCGGCGAGGCGCGTCGTCCTTGACACGAAGCACCTCACCAAAGAGTGTCCAATCAGGGACGCGGATGAGCAGCTGAGGTTCATGGTGAGTGTGGTGGTGGCCGAGGATGGGGCGGGGATGTTCTCACGGGGGACTCCGCCACCCGAGCTCGTGGTGGTGCCGCTCCATGCCACAGTCGGTGACCTATGTGCCGAGGCGGAGCGTGCTTTCCGCGACACCTACTGCGTCATGGAGGGCTTTGCAGCGGAGGACCTGATCTGGCCTCACGGCCAGGAGGTCAGCGAGTCGGAGCTTCTGTTCGGAGTGGCGGAGTCAGGGATGGGGGTGTGGGTGAGAGGGAGAGGGGCCGAGAGGGGGGAGGCGAGGCTGAGGTACGAAGGTGGGGTGGAGGAGTGGAGGGTGGAGTGCGAGTGCGGTGCGAGGGACGACGATGGGGAGCGGATGGTGGCGTGCGACGTGTGCGAGGTGTGGCAGCACACTCGGTGCCTTGGCATCGCTGACGCCGAGGTGGTACCGCAGCTCTTCTTCTGCGCCAGGTGCGGCTCCGCGCTGCTCCCTCCTGACATGCTCCCTCACGAGCCCTTGACCATGTGATCCTCTGTTTTTCCACTCCACTTTTGTAGTCATTGTTTGAGGGCCAAGGAGCTTGGAGAGTCCTTGGCTTTGTATTTTTAACATTCTTTAAAAAGCCACCCACCCACCCTATTGGCTCATTGTTTTGCAGAGGGTTTGAGTATTATTGGCTCGATGCCTCTTGCCCTCAATTTTGAACCATAACCAACCTATGTGGTGGATATATTTTTTTTTTTTAAGAAAATGTATATGATGGGAGCATTTATTTTTAATACAAGAAGGGCACATTCTATTCTATTCTTTTCTTACATTTTTTTTTTAAAATGGTTGGATGTGACATCGGGTGGATGAAGATATATTTTCAATTGGGCATAAAATTCAAAATAAATTTTTTTGAATGTTGCGATTTGTTTCAATATATTAAATTTTACATTTAATGGCTAAAAATAATTGTGACAGTACTAAAGACAAATAATCCCATAGTGGGTTTTCCCTATTTTTCATCGAATCGAAAGAAGTCTTGTATGGATATTTATATAGGTGTCTTGTGTAGTAACTCTTTGGTGTCTATATTTTGCCCATACATCCGTACTACTTTTATTTATATAGACATAGTTTTAGAAATAATTGCATAGCCTTAAATATAATTTTTAAAAACAATAAATAGAATTCAAAAGTCACAAATATAAAAATTTAAAAATATAAATATATAATAAAAATAAAAATGCATGTTTTATTTCTTTTATTTTCCAGAATGGTGCTCATTTAATGTACGCATTATTTATAGTTGGTTTGATATAACTATTTATTACATTTATCCTTGAAAGTTGTAAGCTCAAATCTCTTCAATAGTAATTTATTTTTAGAAAATAAAATATAAATCATATTTATATTTTATAAGATAAGTATTTAAGTCTGTGAGACTATGCTCACATCTTAGTCCATGTGGGACCATATTTTTTCGATAGATCACGATGAGGATACCAAAGGAATTGCCTTCATTTAATGTTAGTACTTGTTGGCTTCTTGTGAATCCTGTCATTTCTTAAAGTTGTATTTGTAGAGAGTGAAGATTTTCTATTAGTTTGCTATATATGGAAAGTGTATATTTCATATGAAGTTACTCATTGTAATGTATCTTGCTGTGCAAGTTATCTATGTTTTTATTATACATATATGTTGATAATAGTCAATAGGTAAATATTTTCCTTTGCCTTTTTTTATGTTTTTTCTGTGAAGCTTAAATATGATAGAGGGATTGAGTGACATAAAGCGCTACTAGTTGCTCAAGGTTACAAACATGAGTATGGCATAGACTAGGATGAAACATTTGTTCATGTTGCTAAAATGATTACTGTATGTACCATAATTTCCTTCTCAGCTATTCATCAGTGGACTATCTCTCAGATGGATGTGAGGAATGCACATCTTCACGAACATTTGAAAGAGACAACATATATACGACCTCCTCTTGGGTATTGGCATCACAAGTCTATGGTATGTCATTTGAAAAAAAATCCTTGTATGGTTGAAAATAAGCTCCAAGAGATTGGTTTGAATGATTTCGACATGTTATTCTGAACGTTGGGTTGAAACAAAGTGCTCATAACTATTCACTAGTTACGCATCATTGTTCTTCAGGGATGACAATTCTTCTCCTATATGTTGATGATATTCTCATCATAGGAGACAACCTTGATAATATACAACACTTGAAATAGCTTCTCAATCACTCACTCAAAATGAAAGATTTTGGTCCGTTGACTTACTTTCTTGGCATAGAGATTCATTATTTCCCGAATGGATATATAGTTAACCAAAAGAAGTACACCAACGATTTGATCAAATTGACCAACTTTGGTCGGGCCTGAATCTACCTCGCTCGGGCTCCCTCGAGGACCTGGGTTCTATTGACCCCCTCTCGAATAACCGCCTGACCTCACGAGCACGTGTGGACTCGTGTGTCGCGTACGGATAAGTATGTCAAACTATGAGAGGATTTTAAAGGGATGAAGAAATGGACTCAAGCACCTACCTCACCATGGTTTGAGTCTTATTTATAAGTCGAAAAAATAAAAATATTAAAAGATTAATAAAAAAGCAAATAATAAATCAAAAATAATTTCTATAATAAAATGAACACAATTAAATTGATTTGAAGGAAAATGAATCCATATGGTTTAGGAATTCATTCTGCAGTAATGGGGTACTCCACCTTCAACTGTGGACTACAAACCACAGTTGCTTTATCGAACCAAGCTAGTGTTTTTCATGACCCACAGTCAAAGCAGGGGCTGACTAGCGGATCACCAAAGTCTGGTCGATGAGCCAAGGGGTCGCAATCCCAATCGGTGGATTACAGGTCCTCCCCTAAAGACGAGTCAAGACCACCACAACCCGATGTGACCACAATTCTATGATGCATAGAGGTATCTCACGCACATGCATACGTTTCACCCAAAGGTTGATAACTGTCACACCCCAAGAATTTACAGTACTGTTATTCCTGAGATGTGACAGACAAAACATATATACATCTATTGATAGGACAAATTTACAGTGGCGAGGTCTTACAAAGTAAATAAAGAAAGCTAGCATAACAACAGTATCTTTCAAGGTTGATCTTGACTAGCACTCAAAATGAATCCGCAGTTATCCTGAAAAAATGTTTACCATAGTTTGATGAGTTTGGCTACTCAGTAAGTGATCATCATAATCCTAAAAATAATCAT